AGTTCAGCACTGAGAAACTCTGGATAATAAAGAAGCTCTGGTTTATGATGCATAGACCCTTGGTAGTGCAATTGAAAAGTTTTAACCATGTTTTCTGCTGCCAATTTGAGGATATTCTTCATTCCATAGAACTCTTGAAACTTTTCTTTGGTAATCCAATCATGTTTCAATAGCAAATCAACTGCTTGGAACACAATTCTCTGCTGTTTCAAATATATTTCATGAATATCATTTCTATAGGAGTTAATTTGTTTTGTCTCTTGAAATGAACTTAGTGCATATGAAAGTTCATTCAGGTTTTTGTGAAGAGAGACTTTGTTTTCTGTGCAGTTTAACTTCTTGTCAGATAGTTTGATAGATAGAAATAGTAAAAAAATAGCTCACCTTTTTTCATGGTTTCTTCTGAGTGGGAAATGATTTCTTTTGTGCTAATTGATTGGCACAGGTTGTGAATGTCCTCCAAGTTATCAAATATCTTGCCTAAGTGACTGACCATTTGGGAATCCTCACACTTCATCTCATTCAAATCACATCTTAAAAGATGTAGGTCTTCCTGTACAGGTTTGAGATCCATCTTCAAGTTCATTGAACCCCTTAAACTAAGTTTTCCATGTCCTTGTTCATTTTGATTTTGTAGAGGAGGCATATTTTCTGTTTCAGAAGGCTCTTTCAGAAATTTAAAAACTGGTGTTCCAACTGTTGGGAGGAAAAATCAGGTCCAATCAGCAGTAGGGATTTTGAACTCATAATAAATTTATCTGTTTATCTCACCATCTTGGGGTAATCTTAATCTAAAATCTTGATCATTGAGCTGAGGAAATGTGTTTACACACTTCTCAAATATTTGATTGTCTGACATTTCAGAAACTTGTTGGGAAACTTCAGGAAGTGGGGGCACCTCTCTGTGCTTGGTGACCGACCCCTTTTGAAAGAGTGCTGATGAGATATTATTTTTAATGTTTCAGGTAAAGGAGTTGTTAATGTCAAAAGAGGGTAATGATAGGTTATTTAGTCAGCTCTGTTGATTTTGATGTCTAATTATAAGAAATGTATACAAAAAGTGCTTTACCAGCTAGTCCACAAAGCATAGCCATGCCATGATTCACTTGCAAGAAGAACATAAACAGTGATTTCTTCCATTGGTTCTGGAAATACATTGCCATTGTGATTAGATCCAATTGTGAAAACCTCCAGTTAAATCTGAATGGAAAGTTGTGGGAGTAAAAGAAGCAATACAGCCTGATAATATTGCTCAATGATGATTCAGACTTATGGCTTTAAAGTGTGTCATCAAGACAAATTACCAAATCTTCAATGCAAAAAAGGGTATATGTACCTCAGGGGTTAAACCAGTAACAGGATCAGATTTAGTAATTGGGGAACAAGTTGTCTGCAAAAATTCATACCTTGTCCTCACCATGGTATATTATACTGTACATATAAGCCGTTCTGAATCCTGGAGTTAGTGTTCCAGAGAACATGTATTTTTGACATCATGGTTTTTTTTCCCATACCCTCCAATGTGTCAAAACATCATCTTGCTAAAAATTGTCCTGTTCTCCAAGCTAAACCCTCATTGATGAGAATATGTAATATATTTATATGTGAAATTCATATTTTTTGGGACTTGTCAACCAAATCCCAGAAATTGGAGTCAACTCCCACACCTGGGTTTCCCCAAAATTTGGGAGTCAATTCCCCAAAACCGTCAGTGGGTTTGGGAGTTGGCCCCAAATAAATTAAAATAAAATAAAAAGAAAAACCCCTGAGGGGTTGGGTGTCAATGCCCCAAAACCAAGTGGTTTTGGGGGTTCAGTGATAAAAAAAAACCACTGGCTGGGAGGGATTCCTCCCGGCCCTGGAGATTGCTCTCTTGACGGCCTAGAGAATTTCTCTCAGGTGTTACATAAGGGTATAATACTCAACAGCCAAAAGAGCACTCTGCATGGCTGGGAAGAATCCTCCCGGCCACTGTTTTTTTTTTATCGCCAACCCCCCAAAACCACTTGGTTTTGGGGCATCAAAACCCAACCCCTTGGGGGTTTTTCTTTTTTATTTATTTAAATTTATTTGGGGGCCGACTCCCAAACCCACCAAAACTCCCAAATTTTGGGGAAACCTGGGTTTGGGAGTCAACTCTCCAATTCCTGGGAGTTGGTTGATCAAGTCCCTATTTTTTTTACGCAGTTTCATAGGCTATTTGTTTATCACCTGAGTAGTTTTATACATTCTTTCTCAACAGTATTGCTACAGCACCCCCACAACATGTTATTTTTGAATAACACATATAAATATTAGAGGGGTTCATCATTTTTACAGCTCAAGTTTTGAATTTCACTTGCAGCTGGTGTGTTTCTAATATTTGCAGCAGGCCATGTGGCTGCTGGTTTGGGATAAACAGTTTATTACAACTGCCAATCATGAGGCCACCTATTGCAGAGACTACCTTTTTTGATTCCTTTGTGTTGAGGCTTAGCTAAGCCAATCAGAAAAGTACGTTCTATCTCAGATTTCCATTCCAAGTGGATGATGTGTACACACGTTGTAAGACTCAAAAGTGGTTGTGAAACCCTTTTGCTGAATGGAGAAGGGGATGATGGAGTTGCAAGCTCTGCCCTTCTATGCTATCAGAACAACAAGACCACCAAGCTCAGCTTGGCAGTTTATATATCGTGATAGAGGATAGTTCGAGATGAAGCTGTCGAATGATTCGTATAACGGTTAAAGGTGTTGATGGTGATTGTTGATGATGATGTTGTTGTTGATGTTGTTGTTGATAGAGGTGTCAATGATTGTGGTCGAGGTTGAGGCTTGAACGCAGGTCCTTGAGGTTGAGGGTATATAAAGGTAAAAAGAGGTGATTTGGAACCAAGGCGCTGGGCGCTGGGAGCACTATGCTTCAACCAGGAATGGAACAGGGGACTGGGCACTTGGTATGATGATGATGATGTGAAAGTGTTATGAATATATTGCGATAAAATAAGGGTGGTTATATAACCGTGACCTGTAATATAATGGGTGGTAATTGTAAGGGTGGTTGAGATGATCTGGTCCACTGGTGGGATGATGAAAGGTACAACTGGCAGGCAGAGGCCTCCTTATATAGACAAAAGTGAGGGATTTTAGCTCCAGGGTACATGCAGGTGAGGGAATTTAGCTGGCCTGAAAATCCAATGAGGGAATTTAGCTAGTCTAATACATGCAGGTGAGGGAATTTGGCTGGTGAGAGCACTGCCTTGAGGGATTTTGGCTAGCCTACAAGGTCCTACTACAAAGGAATGCATGTGTACCTACAAAGGAATTCAATATGAAATATAAGCCAGTAAAGGAATTCAATATGAAACAAAGGAATTCAATATGAAATATGCATCCAGTATTCAAAATGAGACATGGTCAGGATAATAATAAAGAAAAGCTCCAGTGACAGCTTGAGATAAGTGTAACTTCTGAACTAGTAGAGATAAGAGGGTAGTTGTAGTGAGTGACTAGGGGTTATTTTACCTCAGGAATCCATTTTTGATGTTATTTTTACCCTATCTTCAATATTTAGAGACATAATAATAAATTTTTATATTTTTGGTGTAGAAACACAGGAATAATTACCACATCCTCCCCCAACTTATTGACTGTCCCCAGTCAATTCTGACTTTGACTGTGTTTCGGAGTTATATCTGCAGAAGAAATTGAAAGAGCCTGGCCTTGCGTGTGTCTGATTGACTTGAGGGGTGTTGAGTTGATGATGAATTTGTGTCCCCGAGTTTTGACAAAAGCGTGCGTCCAGAGAACTTATGGATTTGACCGGTGGGGAAGCTGTTTGTCGAGTATTGTACATGAATCTTACAGCCGGAGAACTTGTTTATTTGTCCAACTTTTGATTGTAGAAAAAAAATATGTTTGTGTCTTGTTTTATTTATTTTATGTTGTTTTTGTTTTTATTTTATTTTATTTTCATCATGTACTGGGATTGAACTTGGGTCCTCAGAAAAAAATGACTTTTATTTTTGTGTAGTGGTACATATAGTTTTGAAGAAAAAAACTTAGGAAAAGGTTGTAAAATTGAGCTCAGATCTCAAAAAAACCATTCTGGAGTTTGTAGTCTCAAAAGTATGAATATGGTGAGAGTGGGGCTTGAACCCAGGGCTCAAAGTGGTGATGACACCACGGTCATTTGGGTGTCGCCCCGGATGTAACCGTCACCTTGACGAATCCGCGTGCGTGACTGCGGCAGTAGGCGCAGTCACTGCGCACGAAACCCCCAATGAAACCCCCAGATGTCGCTCCGCGCGGGAGCGACATGCAATTGTCCGTGGTGTGAGGCCCTTACCAACTCGACTAAAGATGCAGTTGGAGATTGGCTTGGTTTGGAATTCGACTCGTTTGCGCTGTAGTTAGAATGTATTAGCCCTGTCACAGGTATGACAGGGCCCGATCCGATCGGCGATGGAGTACCCTTCGTTTGGTAGGTCTCCATGGATACCTTCTCAATTTTCTCGTCCGTCCCGTCACGTAAATCTCGAATTCAATCCCAGCAAACGCCTCGAACGATACTTCGACTGAATCTCAACTTTGCTTCTGCCCGCTTCGAATTCTCCGTGCGACTCGACCGATGGTTTATCCATCTGGACAAGTAAGTAAAGTTCCTGCTTCTTTTCTTCTAGTCACTTTTTCCTCTATGCAGCTGACAGGCTCATGACTCGACCAATGGTTTACCCCACTTGAAAGGTCCCCGATCTTCCGCCCTCACTAGCTTTGGCCTCGGAGCATTCGTGCTCTTGTCGCTGCCGGTACGTCCTTCCTCTTTCTTCTAATTCATTTATCCATCTGGTATCGTCACCGCTTGCGTTTTAGTTCTCAACCCGGCTGACTTTCATTTTGATGTGATCCTTTCTTAGTGTCATCTAGGATCGAGGACACCACCGCCGCTGTTTTGACAATTCAGTCCCACTACGTTTTGATCGACCGATACCGCTACCTCTGCGCGCTAGCCCTTTCTCCCCACGATGCCTCCTTCGCACTGGAAACCTCCTTGGTTTTTCTTTGATCCTCTCGATACCTTCGCAAGCGCCCTCGTCTCGTCCATAAATACCGGCTTCGCCGTGTTTCCGATCTTTCCTCACCAGCCTACTTTCCCAGCCAGCTTCCTCAACTTCCATTACAACCTTCAGTACTTCCTCCACATCGTATCCCAAGCCGTACTTCGTCTTCTCAGAACCATTACTGCTATGTCTTCCGAAAAGTCTACTATGTCCTCGCCTGTTGAGATTCCAGCCCCTCGCGGCTACCAAGCAATATCCAATCCGACTCCCGCCAACGATGTAAGTCCTCGTCTCTTTTGATTCTAGTCCCAATCGATTGCTTGTATTAATCATATCCTTGTTTCTAGACCTCCTTCGTGCAGAATGGGATCCGCTACTACCCCAAGCGCGGCGATTGGAGCCCGCTATTTGTGCCCAACGCTGAGATGAGTTTGATCATTTGGTCTCTTGCTGATCTGTTTCTGACTCGTTTTTACTGATTTGATTTCTCTTGTTATGTTTGGTATAGACCCCTCGTACCGCGGACATCCCTGTCCACCCGATGGTTGGTCCTGATGCTAATCCAGTGAGTTGATCGTTTGTCTTCATTGTCTTGTTGCGTTGTCGAGTCTGACTGATTGTTCTTTGCGCCTCTTCTACTTGTTCTAGGTCAATCAGCCTGCAGACACTCAGGTTGATCCTATGGCTGATCAAGACACCGAAATGAAAGCAGTAAGTCTTGATCTCTTGCTGTTCATCCTAGAGGCTGAGCTGATAACCTCTCGTCGCCAGACCGTCCTCGACAACGCTCCCGACCTCTCTCGTCCTCCGCCTATCACTGCCTTCCCAGCTCCCATCCCTCTCCCTTATGGGATGGAGCTCATCCAAACGGGTACCCACTTCCTTCCTCAAAAGGAAAAGTGGCAATGCCACTACGATCCGGCCAGGAGCTTCGATTTGGTAAGTTGATCTGTCATTCTTCATTGTTTTTTGCTTATTGTTATATCCTAAAGCTATCTTCCCTTCCTTATAGTCCACGATCCCGGATGAGGTTCCTGTCCCTCGTGGTTTTGCTGATCCCCATCCGTTCTGCGACATGCCTGTGTGCTGCGACCCCGTGGTACGTCCATTTCCTTTCTTAATCTTCTCCTTGCTGTCTTCAGGTTAATGATCCTGAGTTTTGATTTTGTCTTCTTCTGTAGTTCCAAAACCCGCCGCCTGGACTCGTCCTTCCTTCGACTTTTAATCCGCTCGTGGCCACCAACCTCCAGTCGCATGCTCCTGGTGCTCATCCCGCTTCGGCTTCGTCCTCCGCCTCTGATGTGTCGACCTATCCTCCGCTCTCCGAGTTCCTTCACCTCGACCACCAATCCGTCCAGGGCCTGCTCTCCAAGAAGAATTCGCCACCAGAAGCCACCTGCTTATATACCGAAGAAGATGTGATGCGTATCTTTGAAGGTATCGCCCCTGAGTTTGTTTGGTTGTGTGATGATTTCCCTCCTCACACTTTAAATGAATTCGACCGCCGTGTTATGTTCTTTGAGAACATGCAATGGCACTTCAAGTGCAAGAAGTCCACCTACTTGTCGACCCGTAACTTCTGAGTATTGTTGTCTTTTTCTTCTTTTTCCTAAAACCCAAAAAAAAATTCTAAAAGATAAAAAGAAACTAAAAAGATTTAAAACTTCTCCAAACCTGAAAAAAACTTTTGTATCCTCTTTTATCCCTGACTCCTCCAGTTATTATTAGTTATTACTTTTTCCTTCTTTTCTTGATCTTTTCTTTTCAAGTAAATAAATTTTTAATTTTTCTAATTGATTGACCAGACCCCCTCCCCCAACTTTGATGGTTGTCCCCAACCATGGCTGATTTTAGTGAGTAAGAGTGGAGAAATCTTTTTGAAGAAAAATGAGTTTGAAGAAAGAAATAAAGAAAAGAAAAAAAGAAAAGAGATAACAGACTATACTATGGACTTTTCTCCCCCAACTTATAAAATTTGGCTGGAATTGGTATGTTTTTATCTTTTGTGTCTTTTCATCCTTTTTTTTTTTTTTTTTTTTTTTTTTTTTTTTTTTTTTGATGCTATGGTATTTATCTTTTATCTTTCAATTTTTATGTTTATTTGATAAGATAACTAAAAACTGACTTAGAAATACAGAAAAGAAATTCAGAGAAAGATATGAAAAAAAATGTTGTTATTCTGAAGTGTTAGAATCCCTGTCGGAGCTCTCTTCTGAGCTATGATCTGAGTCTGAATGTGAATGTGAGTCTTCTTCGTTCCGAATATCTGATAAAAGCCGTCCTCGTGGGTAGAACCTCTTGATGTGGGATGCAGCATAAGCCCTTTTTAGTTCAACTCCGTCTAGTTCCTCGAGTATATAGGATCCTCCGTTCAGTTGTTTCTTGACTTTAAATGGTCCATTCCACCTATTTTCAAACAATTTTCCCCACTGATCCTCTAGACTCTTGTTATAAGTTAAAACTAGGTCCCCGGGTTGAAGTGGTTGTCGTAATCTAGCCGCCATTTTCCGATCCCAGAACCGAACTGAATTCTCTCGAGTTTCCATCATTTTGTGGTGAGCTATGTCCAAAATCTCGTCTCGTCTTTCCAACTGTTTTGTCCTTGCTTCCAGAAGTTCTGCTGTAGTACTGATTTCCGTCCAATCAATTCCCAGGTAGGTGTCCATTTCGATATCCACAGGTAGAACTGCCTTCTGTCCAAACATCAGCTCGTACGGAGAATATCCAGTAGTCCTTTTTGTTGAGATTCTGTCTGAGAATAAAACTAGAGGTAAATATTCCCTCCATTTTCCGCCTGATTCGCCACACATTTTTACTAATGTATCTTTGATTGCCCTGTGTCCTCTTTCAATCATTCCATTTGCTTCAGGGTAGTACGGCGTAGTTGGCTTGAATTTGGCTCCAATGCTTTCCACCGCCGTAATAAACTCGTTCTTGAATTCTGGCCCATTGTCTACCGTAACTGTCTTGATCGCTCCGTATCGATACACCCAGTCTTCTAGAAGGAATTTAGCAATAGTGGATGCTGTTAATTTGACCAATGGTGCTGCTTCTGCCCATCCCGATAAGTCGTCTCTAGCAATTATTAAATATTTATACCGTCCTGCTTTGATATGGCAAACGTCCAAAGCCACTCGTCCAAATAGAGTTGTTGCCCCGGTTGGGTCCCTGATTTCTCTAGGTACTAAAGCATCTCTTTTCTGACAGGCCTCGCAACTTTGAACCCACAACTTTGTTTTCTTCTTCAAGCTGGGCCACCAAAATCTGCAAACCAGTCGTTGATAAGTTTCCTCCAATCCTCTGTGTCCCAATTCTTCATGAACTTTTCTCAAGAGTTTGCTTTGGTAAGAAATGTTGGAGATAACTAGTTGAGCCATGGGTGAGTGTCGCCGCATGAGTCGTCCATCTTGGATAAAGAAGTTAACTGATTTTCGCTTTATTGACCGGTATTCTTCAGGATCCATGCCTGTTGGCCGTTTCATTGTACTTAAGTAATTCTTGAGATCCATCCAAAATCCTGGTGATTCCCATTCCAAAAGTTCGTCTGATATTGAGAACGTCCTGAACTGAAAAGTTGCTCGTATTACTGGCTCCTCTTCATCAAAATCTGGCTGATCTTCATAGAATTCGTCCTCTTCGTCACTGATAGGTCTTCTGGATAAAGCGTCCGGTAAGGTAAATGTTTTTCCTGGCTTATGTACTATGTCAAATGAGAAGAGTTGAATAAAGGCCACCCATCGCGTCATTGGTGCATTTGGGAGTGAAGGTGAGTTGATCATTTGGATAAGTGATTGTGCGTCAACTTGTAATTCAAAATTTTGACCCCAAAGAAGTGTTTGCAGTTTCTTGAGAATTCGAGAGACTCCACATAATTCTAATTTTGGTTGAGAATATTTGGATTCCACGGGTGAAAACACTATTGACTCGTATAACACTGGTCTGTTCAATCCTGTCTCTAGTTCTTGTTGGGCCAAAACTGCTCCTGCCGCAATGAAACTTGAATCCACAGCTAGTACAATCAGTCCTGCGCCTTCCGAATAGTCCAGATTCTTTAAGGTGATATCTTCTCCAATTATTTGTTTGAGCTTTTTGAATGCTTCATTACACTCTCCGGACCATGCCCAGCTAATGTCTTTCCGTGTGAGTTTCCGTAGAGGTGCCGCAATTTCCGCTAGGTCTTTGACAAAAATGCGGACGTAAGTGACTATTCCCATGAATCCTCGTAGCTTGGTGAGACTGTTTGGAGTTGGCCATGTGGTGATTTTGTTTTTCTTCTGTACTGAAACTTTGCGTCCTTCTTTGCTGACCACGTGTCCAACAATATCCAATGCAGGTACGCAGCAAGCAAACTTCTTTCCAGATATAGTGAGTCCGGCTTCTTCAATCCTAAAAAGTACTCTCTCCAAAGTTTGAGCATATTCCCAGATGAATCTTCGAATCCCCGGGTTTTCTTCCAAAACTTCATTGTTGTAAGTTGATCGAGGTCCTTTTATTCCACCATCGTCAATAAATACGCCAACATATTCTGGAATTTTGTCTTGAAGAATCCACATCATTTGAGCTTGATAGACTGAAACCGAGTTTGTGGCCCCTTGAGGAAGTCTGGTTAGTTGGAATCTTCCCAAAGGTGTATTGAAAGTGGTTAAAGGCCTTGATTCTTCCGCCAATTCTCGTTCGTCGTATCCTCCCATAATATCTCCTAATCCATAACAGGCTCGTCCCGCAAAGGCTTCTACAAATTCTTCTGTTGCTGGCGGTAATCCTGCGTCCTTGATGGTTACTCGGTTCATTTCCTGTAAATCGTGCACAATCCGTAATTTTCCATCATGCTTTGCAGCACAAAAAACTGGACTAGAGTAGCTGGAAGTGGATTGCTCGTATAAGCCGGTCCGTATTCGTTCTCGCACTAGTTCCACGTAATCATCCTTAATAGCAGCTGGTATTGGTATTGGTTTCTTCTGCCACGGTATATGATCAATGACTGGTATCACGTAAGGTAGTCCGTAAGAGTGTTTCAAAAGTCCTCGTTCTTCCATACAGAATGCCAAAGCTTTTTCTCTGATAACAATGACGTGCTTAAACAGTTTGAGCTCCTCTTTCCAAAGCCATCCTTCCGGTCCAAAATTAACAACCTTTAAGCGCTCTTCAGTGATTTTCTTTGTTGGTGTAAATTCTGGAGGGTGTGGAGTAAGTGGAGTTTTGTATGGATCTCGAGACAAAGGTGGTCGCTTTAGTGGTGGATTTAGTAGTTGCGGAAGTGGTTGATTAATTGGTCGAACTTTCTTCCCAACTGGTTTATACTTTGTCATGCACCACAGATTTCCTTCCCGCCAACTTTCACACAGCTTTGTTTGAAAGGTCAAACCTAAACCTTCCATAAGTAGATTATCCGTGATGATTTCCTGATTCCGTCGTACTGGTCCTGATACTGTTTTGGTTGAATTGGCTTCCAGGACTGGTTTCACTTCCTCTAACGTCAAAGTTCCATTTTTCCTCGTCAAAGCTGATCCTTGGTTAGTTGTAGTATACCATAATCGTGCCGTTTCTGTTTTACAAATTTTCAAAAGTAGAAGAAAAATAATCAGAATGTTCTTTTTTAATAACATTACCTTTGCAAAATATATTTTTGTTTGTTTTGGTAGTTTTTTAAATAAATCCGAAAGAAAAGTTTTGAGCCAGTCTAGAAAGCCCGGTGTTCTGGATATAACTCGCTCGACTAGCTTAAGTGAGTAATCCCTTAGTTGAACACCGGAATTCATAAAAAAGACCGCTTTGAAGAATTCTTGAACATTCGATTGTCTTCGTTTGGCCATATATTCCCGTCCTGCATCTTCATACTGTTGGTACTGAGATCTTTCTTGTTGTTCCATCCTCTTCCTTGGCCCGTTCTTGCTAATGGTACTGATACCCTGCGTCCCTTTGTTCCTTGGAAAGACAGAGTTTCACCGTTTTCGTGATATTCCAAAGTGCATCCGTAGTCAAATAAGAATGGTCGTCCTAAAATGCAGTCCTGAGCCTTGGGTGAAACAAACAGATGGGCTGGTCCGGAGAATCTTCCAATTCCAACTGGGCAATTTTCCGCTACTCCATTTAAGTTGCATCGTGCTCCCCCAACTCCTTTCATTGGTATGTCTACTTGTACTAGCTCCAAATCCAGGTCTTCTGCTACTGATCGAGGCATAACGTTTACCATGGATCCTGAATCTACCATAAATTCCACGCTAGCTCCCCCAACTTCGGCTGTTACGTATCCTAGGGCACAGCTATAGTAGCAAGGGTCCGTCGGGTCTTCCACCTCTGGAGTA